TCCAGTTAGCAATCTTTTTTTATTTTTTTACAAAATTTCAACAGTTGTAATAATAATGCCACAAATTTAACGACATCGATACACATTGCTGTTTACAAAAAGTAAATTTCTTTTTTTCTTGATCATCATTCTTTTTTCTCGTCTATATTTGTAACAGTAATAGCCCAATTTTTTTTTTGCTGCTTTTTCTGACAGAGACAATAACCCACAATTTTTTTTGCATACTGCCACTTTTTTTTTTCGTTTTTTATTTTTTTATTTCTTATTTTTATTTTCACATTGTCTTGTTTCAAACGAAACTGTGAACCGTCAGTTGAGATTATTTGTCTGTGCTTGTCTAACGATTCGAATAGAACTATACTAGAACATTCAGCATCTAGTGATAACGACCACATCCGACATACAGCTGTCATGCATCTAACGGTTAATCTTATACAAAGAAACGACAGTTTTCTTACAGTGATCCATAATGAACACCACTTTTAACTGGTCAACGATATACAGAAAAAAAATTGTATTTGCTGGACATAAATTCTGAAGACTTTCGTCAGTGGCACTCATTTGAACATTTAATGAGTAAACGATACTTTTTTGCTCAAATACAGTTGTAAGAATTCAGTAATTGAATTCGTTTTTACCAAAGTTTTCAGTGTTTACGTTCTCTTTCTTTCCTTTTTATTTTTGTAAATCAACTATCAAATTTTTTTTCCTCTTCTGTTCTTCCTCTTATTATTTTTTTCCTTCTTCTATATTCATTTCTAGTTCCTTTTTTTCTGCTTTTGATCTTCTTTGATTGCTTTGCAATAAAAAACACATGAACGAAATTGAAATGTATTGAAATATTGCTGCTATAAAAGTAAAATCGAAATGCTTGTCAAAGTTTGGTGTAATTGTTTGTGATAATTTCCTCGGCAACAAATATCGGTTCAACAATAAATGTATGTTGCTATTTTCCTCCATTTGTCAATATTAAACAAAAAAAACCAACAAACACCATGTGGAAATGGGTTCTCCTTATCATTTTTCCTATCTACTTTTCAAAAAAGAGAACTGGATGGGGATAACCAAGAAGAAAAAAATTGGGAAAGCTAGAAGGAATTTACGGTAAATGAAATGCCCTTAGTTAATGAAGAAATTATTTAATAAAGTATTCTTCCAATTACGGCTGTTCATGTTTCAGAATCACTACAGCTAAATTAATCCAACAATACGCAAACGCACAGAACACTGTATCGGTTTTAAGTATCAATAAATTTTTTTTGAGCCTTAGTTTTCGATCTTTCGTCTAATAGACAACAACACACAAATTGACTTCATTGGTTTCAGTTTCCACTATACCTGTGGATTTCCTTTAGCGAGGCCTCTCTGCTGCCCTTCCAGAAAAAAAAAAGGACTGCAACCATCGTCATCTGTGGAACACCGAACACCAAGCGGATCAATAAGAAGTGAGTTCTTCCTCGGTCCCTTGACGGCCAGCAGCACGCACATGGCACATTAACGTACACCAGGCCGAGCACAGCGCGACGATCTTTCTATAAGCCTCAGTCTCAGCACATCTTTTTGCTCCATCCAATTTAACTCATTCCCTCATCGCCTGTGTATTTTGTAGAACTTTTTTATTGGCCCGCATGCAACTGAGGCAACGAAGAAGAAAGATTAGACATTAGAATGTAGAAGAGGGAGAGAAACAAACGGAGAAAAAGTTGAATGAAGGATAGATGTGTATGCCGTTGAACAGTTCGTTGTTGCTTAGCAATACGGTGGGTAAAAGGAAATCGACAATTGGAAGTGTCGTTGAACAGAGTCCGAGAGAAAAGACTGATGGAAGGAGGTAATGAAAGATCGCGGCGGCGGCGATGATGATAGGGGAGAGTTTTTCCTTTTTTTTTTTCTTCTTCTTCTGGACGGGGAACTGAGACGAACAGCAGGTTAAAAAAGTGTTTTATATAAGTAAGCATTTTGATTTGGGGTAAATGATAGAGAAAAAAAAGACAAGTTTAGACAGAATCATGAAACGAGGCATGATGATTGCAAACTCTTCTGGTTCCACAGTTTTGTTTTCAAATGGAACAGATCTATTATTATAGTTTACTATTAGTTCAAAACACTACAAATATTTTTGTATCGGTATTTTTTGTTACATTGTTCTCCTATTTATATCACACCCTGTTTGTTCTTTCCATTTTTTCATTTTCGCCGACAAAAATAAGATTCATTCATTGAATATGTTTTTGGGTGCTAAAGCAGGAAATTGGAAAAATAACGAAGAAGAAAATATCGGTTGGTTTTGTTTTGCGACAGAATTCGGCAATAAACATCAATGACGATAGTAACTGCAAAAACATCAACCGCAGCAACAGCAGCAACAGCGGCAACAGTGGCAACAGCAGCAACAGCAGGAGGATCACCACCGAAAACACTCATAACAACAACTGCAAATAGACTACTACTGCTGCTCACAAACTTTACACAACGTTTGCTTGCTTTCCTTTTCTTTTTTGGTAAAAATCTTTCTTGCATCTTTTTTTCTTAAAACTCAAATCTCTTTATTTTCAGTGTCGTTTGTATTCCTGACAATTTTTTCATTATTTTATTTGATTTACCTCTTTTGATGTCGTTTTTCTAGTCTTTATGCTGAAAATATGCATCAGTTCACTCTTTTACCCTCCTTCCCCACCGTCTTTCCACTTCCCGGAACCCTCTCTAATAGTCGTACTGTTTCCAAAATAATGCTGATAGCCTCACTGTGATTTGCATATTTGCGATACACTGCATAGTGTAACCGAGTCAACAATTTCCAGCTTCATACTGGTCGCTGGAAAACGTTATTTCATGTTAGGAGGGATACAGTTTGAATGCTTTCCAAATGCATGTATATATGTATATATATGATTGATTGGTAAACATCTGATATAAGTAAGTAGCTTGATTGTTTCGTGAATGTCAACCAGTCAACCAAGATTATTTGCTGCTGCTCTGCTGCAGTTGGTGTGTCTTACAATTGTTAAAGTTTTCAAAAGTTTAAAAATGTATATGAGGATTTAAAAAGTGTTCATTGTTTAGTGAGCCCCTATTTTCAAATCATTAATGTACGTAGATATCCTTCTTATCAGTGGCCTGTTTTTATCACTAAAAACGCTTAGCTATCTATCTATGTGCTCGTTTAAGTAGAATCTTTTTTTTT